CAATCGCCGAATCTCGTTCCAGTTTTTTAAGATCCGTCGCATTCTTTGGTCTTTTTTTCAGTGTCCTAGCATGTTCTTTAATCCGGTGTTTTAACTGGCGGGAAGTTTGACCAATGTATGTAGCGGAACAGTCTTTACAGTGTAGTTTGTAAACCAGATTGCAGTTATCAATCGAAACGCGTTTGTCTTTGAGCTTTACTAATTTTAGAGTACAGTGTGTTAATAGCTTTAAAAGCAACTCTAAGATTAGCACGATTAAGCACCTAACGGATATCCTCAGAAGTTCCCTTTCGATACGGTAAAACGACCGTTGAAATCCAATCGGATTTTTCCATGGGTTTCATGTGATCGACCGCTTTGCCTTGTGTCTTGTATAGAAGGTTATTCGGAAAACCGTTGGCTGCTAGTTCTCGTCTAACAAATTGGGCCTCTGCACGTCTATCCCGCCTTGTTGTGGGTAGACGGTAGGNCCATCAGATTTTTCCATGGGTTTCATGTGATCGACCGCTTTGCCTTGTGTCTTGCATCGAAGGTTATTCGGAAAACCGTTGGCTGCTAGTTCTCGTCTAACAAATTGGGCCTCTGCACGTCTATCCCGCCTTGTTGTGGGTAGACGGTAGGCTCTGTTAAGGAGGTTTGTTGCCACGCTTCGCTTGACGTTCATCGGGTGTTCGGAATCATACGCCAAGTAGCGGCACGCATGCGTATGATTCGTATGATTCCGAACACGTTGTGGCTAAAACAAACCTGATTCTATCGTTACTCTCCGAGGCCTTCAGAAGTATGTTTACTGTCAGATAAAAACGGTCCATAGGAGTATGAAAAACGCCCATGCAACCACTCAGGTGATTTGTGGAATGAAAATCAGCAGTGGAGATCGAGATCCATCGGCCATCAATACACAGTCTCCCAGTACGTGGATTTGTACTCTATCCGTGTCATCCTTCTCCACCTACATTTGCTTTGAAGTGTCGGTATTGGGCGCAGTCGCGGTTCCGGGAAGGAATAGCAGCGGAACTGAAAATTAGCTTACTGGCACAGTATGATAGTCGTCACCTTGTAGATAGAATTTTGATTGTGCTTAACTTATAAACTGCAACGGTGTTGCACTTTTCTGGCTGCAGGAGATAAACAGCTAATGACTGTCTGATATCAGGTGCGTTTCTCCCCCTTTCTCTTGTGGAAAGGAGAGATCCTTGAGCAGAAGAAAAATTAACAATATTATTTTCAATTTTTCAGACCGTTTGTGCTAAAGGTACACTTTACTGTTCCTTTAAATCTGAGCACTTATCATTCGAGAACTCACACGACGTTGATGATTCTTTGGAATCCCAGTGTACAAATCGTATTGGACCACTTGGGTTAACGGAAACAACGAGAGTCCAGACTCTGACTTGTGATTACGTTAAACTTAATGAAGGTGCAGTTACCAAACGCTCCACGAAGTGTTCCTTGTGATTTATCATGAGAACTACGGAATTGCACATCCAGCTATATTACCTTCTTTTCTATCTTCCAGTGCAAACCGTGTCCACCGGACTACTTCTCAGATTTTCGTACTCCAGAGAATATGTGTGAACCGTGCCCACGTGAACGACCAACAACATTTGGGATAAGGGGGTCCATATCTTCACAATGCTCATCAGAGAAGTTACGAGATATACGATCCGTGAGTGAAACGAATGCATACTATATTTAGGTAAGACGTTTACAGTATTCCTGGCAGCTTTTGCTAAACGTATCAACTGTGAAACGGATGCAAATTTGGTGCAGTGTAAGAAATTGAAAAACATCATACGTGGAACTATAACTATAGATAGATAAATAGATAGATAGATAGATAGATAGATAGATAGATAGATAGATAGATAGATAGATAGATAGATGGATGGATATATCACTAGAAAGATAGATAGACAGATAGATAGATAGATAGATAGATAGACATATAGATAAATAGACAGATAGTTAGATAGATATTCAGATACATAGATAGATAGATAGATTTGGATGGATATATCACTAGAAAGATAGATAGACAGATAGATAGATAGATAGATAGGTAAACCATTTTGTCTGTTGTGACATACGAAAACGTATATTAAATGCATCTTGATTAACAGCTTCCGTGATCAGGTTCGAACTAGGCGACTTATAATTTGCTCCTAATCAATGAATTTTTTAAATGAAGATGATCCACTACTTTCTTTTCTTCAATTTAACCAGCTTTTTCATTCTTTTACTCTGCTCGTAACACAGATTGGAATGAACGAGAATTTTCCAAAGCCTGATATGCCGTCGGTCGTCAGCAAATCTCATGGGATTAAGTGGGATCCGGAGCTGTTCCGTTTCTCAAATGACCTAGACTCCATTTTAGATCATCTCCGTCCAGATGACAGTGTGGTCCTTGCACAGCAAGATGCAATTAATTTAATTTTGGTGAGAGTCTGTTCTGTAAAAATAAAGTGGACGGTCTTAATCCGAGAGTGTCAAGAAAAGTCCATGTGGTCTCGTTTTCTGTTTGGTTATGTTTTGCTGGCGGTGGTTTTTCCAAAATTTTAAACGTACCAATGTATTATTTAAAATTTGAAAAAATTCAGCATGCAAATTTCTAAGTTCTCAGTCAATTCCCTCTTTTTGTCTCACACATAATATAAACCGAGAGTTATTTTGATGACAAAATGTGTAACATGCCTGATTGGCATCAGGTTAGCGTGAAGTTTCACATATGTATCGGGCGATATCAATTATGTTCAGTCCGTATTTTCCAGTGGACTAACCCCCAACAAACATTTAATTCACTTCTCCACGTCAACCGATTTTCCACCGAGACAAGTGAAAAAGTAAAAGTGACTGGAGACGGTCAAACTGGGAGCAGGTTGCCTTTAGTTGTACTCTTTCCAAAAGGTATATTAAAACAATCAGCTTGAGGGTCTTGTCACCTTTTATTCCCAATGTAACAACGAAGCTTTCTGCGAATGTTATTTCAATGAGATGTATGAAAGCACATCGACGTGTAGAATAATTGAGCATAGAAACTACTTAGGCAGACACACTATTTCTATCCTCCTCGATCTGAAAGCAGTGTTGTTCATCTCAGTCGACCTCTTGATACTCTGGAACTGCCTCTCCTTGGAGGGTGTGCCTATTTGAGACATTTGTGGCACCGTTGTGACATCCGGCACACTGGGAAGCGTCGAGTGTATGCTGTAGCCCTTCGGCTAGCGCTGGTCTGGGGTGCAGAAATTTGGTCATTGAGGGAAGAGGATAAAAGTTTAGTGTCGGTGTTCGAATACCGCTGTCTATGTCGCATTGCACGAATCTGGTGGAAAAACCGGACAAGTAATGCTGAGGTTATATGTAGAATTTAGGTTATGGCTGTCGTCCATTGAAGCAAATGTTCAATCTCTATCGATTACGCTGGTTGGGACATGTGTTGCGTATGCCACCAAATAGGCTGCTATGGTGCACGATGTTTTCCTAGGAAGGTAGTGGATGGACTAATGTCAGCAGCGATCAAACGTAGACCTGCCATTAGGCTATGAAAGCCCTAACCAAGAGACTCGGTCACAAAGGCCGCATTATGCTCCCTGGATTGTGACCCCAGTGTTCAGGTAATCTGGGGCTAGAAACACTAAATGATATGGATGTCTCAACCAACAAAGCTCATGCATCCACTCAGTATTCTTTCAACCGTAGTCTAAATGAATGCCCTTTGAATTTGCTCTCAAAATTGCAATCTGCTCTTTGTTCTTTTATGCAAATGAGCGAGCAAAAGATAGTAACCAAAACACAGGCACGAAAGTGCACATTGAATGGTTGTAAAATCCTAATACCAGTTATTGATCTCGAGCTATTGTTATACATGTGCTCACAACATATAATTTAAGTTCACCGATGAAGTTCATTATTAAATAGATGGTGTAGCTATGCTGTCTTTCCTGGGTCCACTTTCCTCAGATGCTGTCATAGCTAAGCTGAAGAATAACATTCTCAAATGAACAGTCGATTAGCGTGCAATGTGCAAGTGGCGTGTATGACATTTTGTGGTTTGTCTCACTTTTTCAAAGGTCAAAGTCACAATCAAAGTCAAAAATCGCTTTATTCATCCTAATGAATGGATTTGCTGCTTCTTGCACCCCAGGATTATTTATCATCGCATGCAATCACAAAGAAAAAGTGAAGAAAAATACTGTATCGTAAATTCAAAAGAATGTGGAGTAAAAGTTTGAAAATTCAGTATCAATTGCGTAGTAAATTCCAAAGCTTTCCCTGACGGATGCTTCTTGAGCCAGTAATCTCGAAAGATAGGGAATGACAGACAAACAGTAGGCAGTGATACGAGCGTACAACAGTTGATAACGACATCTAGTTGCAGAAGTGGATACGCATTGTTTAATTTCTGTTTGGAATGGGTGAGTAGTGTCTAATAGAATATTGTGGCAAAAGTTATCACAAGAGGTAAAGTGTGTATCGACGATAAAGTTAAGCAAGCGCCAATAAGAAATGCCGCTTGCGCAAGAAATACTTTCAAGAGACAGGTGTCGAGCTGCGTAATTTTAACTCTAAGACCGGTAAGTGGAACTAGGGAGCAGTAAAGAAGATGAACAACAACACAAGAATATCCAAATCGAGTGAGTAAATACAGTGGAACGTTCAAAGAACGCAAGCGGGAAATAAAGAAACAATTATCGAACCTTTACAAAAGTATAATTTAAATGTGAGGTTTAGCAGAGGTCTTGGCAGATAGTGACACCAAGGTATTGCAGAGAATTTATTGAGGGAACAAGCTGGTTGTCAGCATACAGTACAGAACAATTCTTTTCAAAAGAATGTAGCCGTCCTCCTTTGGCGAGCGAGAAGGTAACATTCCTACATTTAGAGACATTAAGAGATAACCTGGAAGACGAAGACCATAAATCTAACGCATATACACTCGTTTGAAGCTGTGAGAAGCGGAAATCACCTTGGAATTTGGAACCTTTTGTGACATCATCAGTATACTTAACCAGAAGATCATCTGGGTCAGTGGGAAGGTCACGAATACAGAAAGAGAAAGGAAAGGGGAATAGAATTGCTCCCTTTAGCACCCCTGAGTTTACCGCTGGGTTGTCAGAGGTTTTCCAAAGAAACTTCACTCTAATTTGATTCATGTTTCACATGAAACGTACCATTTGATGAATAACTACCAAGCGCACTATCAAAGGGTAGCGACCATAGAGTGAAACCAATCCGTGCTATAAAGTGCACTGCAAATGGTTGTATAGGCTAAACTAACTAACTGCAGCAAACCAAAGTAGTGATTTAAGTAAATCTCAGCCTAACGTTTGGTCGAAACCGGTAATGATTTAGTCAGGTCACCATCACCATTCACCTTCACTTCCGATCCTCAGTTCATCTCAGCAGGCATACATTTGCAAAAGCGCACGACGAGAGTTTCCCTATCAACGTCACACACCCACCAATCCCATATGTAGTTGAGCCTATCGTCCCAGGCACAGGAGGCCTGCGTTTTACCACCGTAATAGTAAGTTGAAACCAGAATGTGAACAATCGTGGGAAAAATAAACTTCTGCTCCAAGCCTCAATATCGAAAGTTACCTAGTAATATGGTGGAGAATATTGAAATGTAACTCAGTACACTGGAGCCTTGGTTAAACACTAACTTAGGTCTCGTGCTTCCCTTTTTTCTGGTGGATGTAATCAGTTACGATTATACAGATAACCAAAGTCAAGGCTACAGATAGTGCAAATGGGGGCTAACGCAAACGTATTGCTCCCTAGAGTTATTGAGTCGTTCACGCAAGATAATTATCGTCAACTGTGTTACTTAAGGGTAAGTGTTTTCAGCCCCAAGCAGAAAGTTCGTGGGTGGAGTCCTGACACGAGGGCACAAAACGTACGCACTGATGGCGGGTCCTATACCGAACTAAACATCCGTCCTGGTGCTCTTTGTCAGGAATCACAAATATGTCCGTTTTGCTAGGAACAGTAGTCTACTACATATCAAATAATTCCAGGTTTATTCGCGTTTTGTTTTATCTCGCACATTATCTCCCTGTCTCTCTGTTTCTTGCTCACAGGATCTGACCTACCTGACATTTTCCGATGCCGAAATTGCATTGATGCTGCTGATTTCATTCGGCATGGGCCTGTACGGATTCTGCTTGACAGTGCTGATATTTTATGGGATGCATGAACCCACATCATGGACTGTGCAGGCAAACTTTACAAGCAGTACAAATCGTTTGCAACGAGTGCTTTTACCCACTTTCGTTATATTTTGCCACTTGTTTGAAACGGTAAGCTGATCGTGTGGTTATCCTGTTTTGTCGGTATCGATTGGAATTACAATTAACATCATAA